TAACAACTTGTAACAGAAAGTCTAAGAGAGAATAAAGAGTTTAGTCAACAATCTGAGAAATTCTCTTATTCATTATGCAGCACAGTACAATTATTTATAGAATACCTAAGGGTATTTTGGTATTATTCAACATACCCCCATAATACCAAATCTACAGAACAAACAATACAGAATCTCAAGTAATGAAACTATGATAAACTGATTAAAGTCAACATATTCCGAAATTTTCTACAGTTGTCCACCTTCAAAGCTTTAGTCAGTATATTAGCAACATGTTCTTCTGTGCTGCAGTGAATTAACCACACTCTTCCCTTGTTCACTTGATCTCTTAAGAAATGAAACTTGGTCTCAATGTGTTTGCTGCGGCCATGTGAAACTGGGTTTTTAGCCAAGTCTATAGCAGACTTATTATCTATAAACAATTCTATCTTGATATCAGTCAATTGCTTCAACTCTTCCAGCAAGAATAAAAGCCAAACTCCTTGACATGTAGCATGACAACCTGCAATATATTCTGCTTCACAGGTAGACAAAGCTACCACATCTTGTTTGGTTGAGCACCAAGAAACTGGGATGTTTTCTAGGTATACAATGTAACCCATTGTACTCCTTCTATCTGTTTTATCCCCACACCAATCAGAATCAGTATAGGCAGTGAGATGCAAAGTCTGATGTTCTAACTTCTCCTTATAAAACGGAACTCCATAATTAATTGTTCCCCTCAGGTACCTGAGCACTCTTTTTGCAGCTATCAGGTGAGACTGTCTAGGATCAGCCATGAATCTACTTACTAAACCAACTCCATACAATATCTCAGGTCTACTATGACATAAAAATCTTAAGCAGCCTATTAATTGTCTATAGTAAGTAGCATCAACTCTTGCTTCATCTTCACAAGCATCCAGTTTCAGATGACTTTCAACTGGAGTTTCTGCTGGTTTACATGAATGCATACCAAATCTGTTCAGTACCTCAGTTAGATATTTTCTTTGATGCATAACTAACCCCTGCTTGGTATGTGTAAACTCTATCCCCAAGAAAAAGGACAACTCTCCCAAGTCTGTCATTTCAAATTCTTGTTTCAGTTTCTTCTTGAATTCTTCTACCTTACTCAATTCACTTCCTGTGATGAGTAAATCATCAACATAGAGACAAATAATCAGAATTCCATTGATAGCATCATTTAGAACATATACACCATGTTCTACAGTACATTTTCTGAATCCAACACCTTTCAGAAAATCATCAATTCTTTTATTCCACACTCGAGGTGCCTGCTTTAACCCATATAAGGCCTTTTTTAATCTCACTACCTTATTCTCTGAGCCTTTAACTTCAAATCCTGGAGGCTGATGGATATAGACCAATTCTTCTAATGATCCATTCAAGAAAGCAGATTTGACATCAAGATGCCAAAGATGCCAATTTCTGTAACTGGCAATTGCTACAATTACTCTTATGGTCTCAAACCTGGCTACTGGTGCAAATACCTCAGAGTAATCAATACCAGGTTTTTGCATAAAGCCTTTAGCTACCAAACGAGCCTTGTACTTTGCAACTCAACCATCTGTATGAGTTTTCACTTTGAAAACCCATTTGACAGGAATTGCTTCTTTGTCTCTGAGTAATTCAGTCAGCTCCCATACTTGATTTTTCTCAATAGATTGCAGCTCCTCCTTCATTGCATCAATCCAGACTTTCTGTTTAATTGCTTGTTCAAATTCAACTGAATCCAGACTGGTTAACAATGCTAGATAGACGGGATCACCTTCAGCATTAATTTCATCATCTCTGATTATTTGATAGTCTCTCAGCCTGTATGGAAGTGTTCTTACTCTTGTTGACCTATGAGTTGAAGTTCTGTCAAGTATGTTATCACCAGAAGTGTTTGATTCCCCTTGATGAGTATTAGGTTCTTCACAGTCAACCTCCATTCTTGCTTGTGGAATATAAGCACCATCAGCATTACTCTTCCAATATTCCCACTCATCAAACACTACATCTCTGCTTATTCAATCCTTTTAGTTCTTGGGTTGTAGAGTCTGTAAGAACCAGTAGAATTGTAACCTACAAACACCATAGATTCACTTTTATTATCAAGCTTTTTCCTTGTTTGATCTGGGGTGTGCTTATAGCACAAGCATCCAAAAATTCTCAAATGGCTAACTGATGGTTTCTGCCCAGACCAAACCTCTTCAGGTACCTTATTATTCAATCTCTTAGTAGGTGACCTATTCAGTATATAAATTGCAGTAGACACAGCTTCACCCCAAAGATTATGTGGAAGATTTTTCCCTTTAATCATACTCCTCACCATATTAAGTACAGTTCTATTTCTTCTTTCAACAATTCCATTATGCTGAGGAGTATATGGGGCTTTAATTTCATGAATTACTCCATTATCATTAAAAAACTGCTCAAGTTCTTTAGAACAAAACTCTCCACCTCCATCAGTTCTAACTATTTTAAGGCTATGACCAGATTGCTTTTCAACAAGAGCCTTAAAATTCTTGAAAGTGCTAAACACCTCACTTTTTACTTTGAGTAGATATATCCACATTTTTCTGCTAAACTCATCAACAAAAGAAACAAAATATCTATTTCCTCCTAGGGACTCAGTCTCAAACGGTCCACAAACATCTGAGAAGATTACATGTAGCAACGCAGTAGCTCTGGAGGGAATGAAAGCAGAAAAGATCCTCTAGTTTGCTTACTAATCACACACTTCTCGCACAATGTATTAGACAACTTTATAGGGGGCAAACCATGAACCATACCTTGATTATATAGTTTGTTCAAATCCCTGAAGTTCAAGTGTCCATATCTATAATGCCATATCCAGGAATTTTCAGAAGTTTCAGTTGCAAGGCATTGGGTTTCCAAGGCAGTAATCTGAACCTGAAAGGTTCTGTTGCTTGATGCTGCTATCTTGAAAACTCTTTTCTTCTGAGAATCATAAACATCTAGAGTTCCTTTCTCCATGTGAATAGTAAATCCCTTTTCAAGTAATTGCCCAATACTGATCAGATTACTCTTCATCCCGGGCACATACAACACCTCACATATAAATGCTTCACTGCCATCCTTCCTTCTGAATACCACATCACCTGTGCCTTCTGCACAAGTCAGTCTTTCATCTGCAAATCTTACCTTACTTTTCTTGGACTCATCAAAATTCACAAGCCATTTTTTCTAACCAGTCATATGGTTCGAACAACCAGAATCCAAATACCATATATCTGAATTACTTTCTTCCTGAAAAGTGGTCATCATTAAGGTGACTGGTTCTTCATCTGTTTCCTTGTCATCTTCAGCCAAATTTGCCTCATTTGCTTGCCTATCAACATCATAAAACTCATCTTGGCTAGGTGCTCTGCATTCATTCAAGAAATGGCCTATTTTATTGCAGTTGAAACACCTAATTTTCCTTTTATCAATCTTCTTTCTGCCTCTATTAGACTGGTTGAAACCACCTCTTTTGGAAGATGTTTCAGGCTGTTCTTGATCTTGTGCAAAAGTGTTTTTTCCAGAATAACCCCCTCTATTAGATCTGCCCCTGCCTCTTCCTCGAAAACCACCTCTATTGTTCTCAGTTCTGTCAGTGTATTGAACCTGAAATGCTTGATCAATCGGTTTTTCAACCTTTCTTTCTACCAGACGTAATTCATAAGCTTCAAGAGAACCTTGTAGTTGTTGCAATTTTAGAGTAGTCAAATCTTTCGCTTCTTCAATTGCCACCGATATGTAATCAAAATTTGGAGTAAGAGTTCTTAATACCTTTTCCACAATCTTCTGCTCAGGTATCTTTTCTCCACATTTCTTCATAGCATTTGTCAAGGCAACTACACGATTGACAAAGCTTGCTACAGTTTCGTTTTCCTCCATTCTCATCTGTTCGTATTGTCTACTCAGATTTTGAAGTCTCACTCCAATTGCTCTTCGCCTTCATTACACTGTTCCAGAATCTTCCAAGCTTCGTGAGTAGTAGAAGCGTTGGCAATTTTCTCAAAGTGCGCATCGTCCAGGCAATGATGAAGTATAAACATCGCATTGCAATCTTTTTTCTTATTTTCCTTGTACGCAACTTTCTGAGCTTCCGTTGATTCTTCGGTAATCGCAGAGTATCCATCATCAACAATCTCACTGACCTCTTGATAGCCAAAGATTACCTCCATCTGTATTGACCATCTATGTCAGTTCTTTCCGTCAAGAATCGGCAAATTTGAGACCAAATTATTCATCTCCATGAATTTCCTTCGTCTTTCAGTATCGTCCCCTTCGTTCTTGAGCCTCGCTCTGATACCAGCTGTTAGAACAAGTAACAACTTGCAACAGAAAGTCTAAGAGAGAATAAAAAGTTTAGTCAACAATCTGAGAAATTCTCTTATTCATTATGCAGCACAGTACAATTATTTATAGAACACCCTAAGGGTATTTTGGTATTATTCAACATAAAAACTTCCCATCATGAGCAGCTGATATGCTAATGACCACTTCATCTATCTTAGAAGGCAGTAACTCAGCAACAACCTCAGACGACATCACAAGTGCATTCTTCTCCTCTCTGTTAGACACTATCTTTTCTGTCATGCTATTATCATCATCTCTCTAACAGACGGATCGTCAACTAAATTTATTCCACTATGTGTAAGTTGTGAAAAATTGACAAGTGTAAAACCAAACTTGTCTTTTTTGAGGCCCTTATTTAGATCCACCCAATCACATCTAAATAAGACAATTTTTTTGGTTTTTTCATTGTTTTGGACTTTTTCTTGAGTTGGGCTGGGTGTTTTTTTTGGGGGTTGGGGGGGTTGGGGGGTTGGGATAGGGGGTCGGGGGTTAATAAGAAAAGAAAAAAAACATGGACCCGGCCCGACCCGGACCCGATGGTAACCCGGGCCGGTCTCGGGCCTTCTACCAAAAAACAAAAGTCCGTCCGGGCCTAGGCAGCCGAGTCCATGACTATTTGCATGGCAACTTATGACTGAATGCTTACCCACAACTAATAATGTTTGCCGACGAAGGGTGGAGATGGATAACATTTGTAAACTCTGAGGACAGATATGAGACTGAAGAGCATATCTTCCAGTATGACTGGGTTGCAGACAGAACATGGCAAATTAAATTGGGCGCCCACTTTATCCGACAAGGAAGTGATTTTACTAATTGGACTATAACTTTTTTTTTGACAATTTGCAGAGAAAGATATGTGTACTTTCATTGTTAATCTTTTGAGTTTCTGGAAGGTATGCGATGACAAGGTTTGGAAGAATAAAGATGCAATCCGGCACCAGTGTTTGAATGCTCATAAGTTATGCGTGGCTGGAAGGCGGCTCAGGTGGCGGTAAAGAGTAGCTACAGGGTGACACAGCACGGGAGGAGATGTAGCAAGGGCAGTGCAGGAGTTCTTTTTGGGGATTAATCCTCCTAAAGGGTTCTCAAGCTCATTTATTGTTTTAATACCCAAAAAGGATATGCCCACCTCTTCTGCAGACTACAGACCGATTTGTCTCTCAAACTTCACTAATAAAATCTGCACAAAAGTGCTAACATCCAGGCTAGTAAAACTGCTTCCTATTATTATCTCTAATAAACGGGCTGGGTTTGTAAAGGATAGGGATCAAATTCTTATTGCTCAAGAGATGATTCATGCCATAGATAAAAAAGTAAGAGGCTCTAATGTGGTTATCAAGTTGGACATGGCTAAGGCTTTTGATAAGTTATCTTGGCATTATTTATTTGAGGTCCTGGCTAGATTTGGCTTTTCTGGTAAATTCATATCCTTAATTAAGGCTAATTTACGGTCTACTTACTTCTTCATACTCATCAATGGCAGCCCTCAGGGTTATTTTCAACCCAAAAGGGGGGTTAAACAAGGAGATCCCCTTTCCCCCTTTTTATTTATTATTGCTTCTGAAGGCTTTACCAGGACTCTAAATGCTAGAATGATGAATGGAAGTATTAAATCTTACTGGTTCGGCCCAGTGGGCAATCCAGTGTTAGAGACCCCACTAGTCTAAATGTAGATGACAGATTCTATGGGCAAGTTTATGTACGAAGGCCTAGAAAATAGACTAGTTAGTTAGTTATTAGTTGTTCTGTTAAAAGCTAATAACTACCATTCTGTTGTGAATGCTATAAATAGAATAAACACTGCAGTGGGAAGGCAGGCTGTTTCTAGACTGATGTCTTGGCTGGGAAGTTAGAGTTTTATCTCTTTCTTTGGGAACTTGTATACGGTTTATCTCCTTTGATATCAATAACAGATTTCTTGTTTTTTCTATTGTTGATTTCTGTTATTATTCTGTGATTGGATAGTGTTACCTATCATCTAGTGACACACCTGGGTTTTGCTGATGACCTCCTCATCTTTACTAATGGTGACTCCAGATCTTTGACTAAATTCATTCGGTTTATTAAGGAATATGAAGATGCCTCAGGGCAGACTGTAAATTTAGACAAAAGCAGCTTTATTTCTGGGAAGAATGCAACCTATAGGAGCTCAGTGATCAAAGATATTCTTGGTATGAAAAAAACCAGCCTTCTTATGTCTTATTTGGGTGCTACTCTTCACAAAGGCATTAATAGATTCCACTACTGTGATCATCTTATTAAGTTGTTTGATTCAAAATTATTCTCCTGGAAACAGAATAATCTCTCTCAGGGAGGGAGGCTAATTTTGATCAAACATGTCCTCAGCTCCATCCCTAATCATATTCTGGCAACTGATGTACTGCCTTGGAGGGTTATTTCTACCCTTAAAAGGAAATTGGCTTCATTCTTTTAGGGATCTTCTGCAGGTCATCACAAATTACATTGGGTCAGGTGGTCTAAATTATGCTACCCAGCTATTGAAGGAGGCCTGGATATTAGGTCTCTAACTGATGTTGAAAAGGCCTACACTTTAAAACTTTGGTGGAAGTGGAAGAATAATAAATCATGTTGGTGTGATTTTATTAATGCTAAGTATCCTAGGGGAGGGGATATGGTTCCAAAAATCACAGACTCCACAATATGGAAAAGGATATGTTCCATTCATGATACTTCAGTTGACCTTTGCTACACTCAGCCTTCAGGTTCAATTGATTGGCTTCCAGGCAAGGATGGAATCTTCTCTTTATCTTCAGCCTACAATGAGATAAGAGAGGTTCAATTTGTTACATTCACTTCAAAGAATGTTTGGAATAAACATCAAAGTATGCAGGTCAAGGTTTTTATGTGGAAATTATTACATAAGTCCTTACCTTTGGTGGATAATTTGGACAGATTTCAGTTTGTTCTTAATCCCTCCAGGTGTCCATTTTGTGTTAATCATAGTGAAAATACAAACCATATTTTCTTTGCATGCCCTTATTCAAGGAAAATATGAGATTACTTCTTAGGTATTTTTAACATTCCTATCCCAAGGAATTACTCTTCTATAAGACAGAAGTTAATCAGCTGGTGGCTAGTTGCAGGTTCTAAAACCTTGGGTGATATTTTTTAACATAATATGCCTGGGATAATTTGCTGGTTTTTATGGAAAACTTACTCCTCCTTTACATGGGGTTCTGAAATCTGAACCCATTCCTTCAACAGATCGAGTTATTTGGCAGATAAAGCTCTACACTCAAAATTTGGCATATAAACTGAGGAATTTAAGGAACAGACGTGTGGAAGATTTTCTGATTCAGGAGAATATGGTTTCTACCAATTTCAAGTTCAAGGAAACTGGATATAAGTTGATTAAATGGAAAAGGCCTGATAGAGATTATAAACTTAATGTTGACGCATCATTCGTACCTGGGTATGCGCAGGGGTGGATGTACTCTCATGTTAATGGGGGCACTTGCCCCCAATAACTTAGTGTTTTCATTAGGTAATACATTAGTTATATATATTAGAAAACTATTTGTCCCCATTAAATATTTCAAGGTGCCCCCAATAAAGTTGAACTTCTTCAAATAATGATAGTTTAGGTCACTAAATTGACTATATACGTAGTATATATAACTATGAGTTTTTTCCTAAATTAATGTTAATTAAATAAATATTTACCAAATTAAGGTTGGGTTAATAATAATTCCCATACTACTGCTACCTTGGTTAAACAAACCCATACGACTTATCTAAATGTACGGAGTAGGCCACAAATGTAGGAATCAAGATGGGTCCCTCATAATTATAAAACTCATTTTTTCTTTAAATGACTATAACTTTTTTATTTTTACTCTATTTTGTATAAAAAAATATATCACAATTCATAATTTTTTATGATATTTCATTTGACACCAATATTGCATATGTAATTTTTTTAAAAAAATGAAGAGTATATGGAGCCCGTTTGGGAACTCTTTTTTCCGACTTATCAGTCTCATCAACCAACTTTTTCACCAAACACGAAACTTTTGATTTTGTGTGCTTATTCTGTAATAATAATCAAAATAACTATGGTTGAAATTACTTATCAAACTGCATTGGTTGAAGTTACTGTACATGTATTGATGTATATTTTAACTATTTTTATTCATTTTATTAATAGAAAATAGTTTGAGTTTTTCCCGAACTAATACTAATTGAATAAATAATTAAGAAAATAAGGTATGGTTAATAATTACCATGCCAAATTTAGATTTTTTCTTCGGGTTTTTAGCTTCAGATTTGAGATTAAATAAGACACTCTCAGGTCGTTTGTTAAATCTCAAAGTGACCGAATTGACTGGTTATGTTAAAATTTATGAAGTTCAGGTGAAATGACTGTATTGGTTGAATTGGCTTATTCATTAAATTTATTCATAGAAGAGGTTTTGTGCATGATTAATTAAAATACAGGGGGTCTGACGTATTTTCCAAATCATATGGGGCTAATGTGTTGGATTTCTATATCACGAGAGTGTTTGATGCATTAAACCCGAGCACCAACAGACGTAGCAATCAAGTGCGTCCCTCAGAAATATAAAATCCATTTTTTCTTTAAATAGATATAACTTTTTTAATTTTTGCTCTATATTGTATAAAAAATACGTAGTATATCACAATTCATAATTCTTTATGGGCTTTCATTTGACACCAATATTGCATATGTCAATTTTTTACAAAAAAATGAAGAGCATATGGAGCCCATTTGAGGACTCTTTTTTTGGACTTATCAATCTTATCAATCAACCTTTTCACCAAACACGTACTGAACTTTTGATTTTGCGTGCTTATTGTGTAATATTCAAAATAAGTGAAGTTGAAATTACTTTTCTGACTGCATTGACTGAAATTACAATTTAGCTTTTTTTATCCATTTTATGAATAGAAATTATAACGTAGTATAAGTATAAAATTTAATGAATAAGCCAATTCAACCAATAGAGTCATTTCACCTGAACTTCATAATTTTTAACAGAATCAGTCAATTCATTCACTTTGAGATTTACCAAACAACCTCAGGGTCTCTTATTTAATCTCAAATCTGAAGATAAAAACCCGAAGAAAAAAATCTAAATTTGGCCTGATAATTATTAACCCAACCTTATTTTCTTAATTATTTATTCAATTAGCATTAGTTCGGGAAAAATTCAAAATATTTTCTATTAATAAATGAATAAAAATAGTTAAAATATACATCAATACATGTACAGTAACTTCAACCAATGCATTTTGATAAGTAATTTCAACCTTACTTGTTTTGATTATTACACAATAAGCACACAAAATCAAAAGTTTTGTGTTTGGTAAAAAAGTTGGTTGATGAGACTGATAAGTCAGAAAAAAGAGTTCTCAAACGGGCTCCATATACTCTTCATTTTTTTTAAAATTACATGTCAATATTGGTTTCAAATGAAAGCTCATAAAAAATTATGAATTGTGATATATTTTTTTTATACAAAATAGAGTAAAAATAAAAAAGTTATAGTCATTTAAAGAAAAAATGAGTTTTATAATTATGAGGGACTCATCTTGATTCCTACATTTGTGGCCTACTCCGTATGTTTAGAAAAGCCGTATGGCCGTATAGGTTTGTTTAACCAAGGTAGCAGTAGTATGGGAATTATTATTAACCCAACCTTAATTTGGTAAATATTTATTTAATTAACATTAATTTAGGAAAAAACTCTATAACTATAAAATGTATAATTTGCTTGAAGGAAATTTAATTGAGGCATATTAAGTAATATAAATTATGAGAAAATAAAAAATGATTTCAATATAATTGAATCTAGATGAGATAAATTTAATTCAATATTCAAAAATATGAACATTCGTTGGATACTTGAATGTAACTTTGTCAATATCAAATAATCCGTATACAAAAACTGATTACAAACAATATCCAAGACAAAATTAGTTTAATTATAAAAAAGAAGTAAAGTAATTTCTAAAAATTCTATAGAAATGAATGAATTTTATTTGGTTTTTTTACATAGATATTACCAAAATTAGATATTACTAATAGTTACTACAATGTAGTGTCATAATAACTTAAGTTTAATAATTGAACATAAGTTACTACGATTTCATTACTACTCTATTCACTAGTCACATTTTTGTAAACAATCTTAATTTTAGTCTAAAATGTGTAGTCATTTCATTTTACTTTCACGGACAAATAATTAGAATACTCTTGACTAATGTTCTTTTTTCTTTGATATCATATATGAATTTTAACCCCTTTTTAATTGTGTAAAAGTAATGCTCACTACTAAGAATTTATTTGGTAATTTAAACTTGTTCTACGCAATGACGTTCGTTTTTAAAGTGTTTTTATTTGAACTGTTTTGAGTTTCACATCAAGCCAGATCATACCATATCAAATTACATTTGGATAATCATAAAATACACATATATAAAAAATTTACTATACCAGACGTCCAGACTAGACTAGAAAATGATGGTCCCGGATAGAGGTAAAAGTCTAGAGGGGGGGGGTGAATAGACTTTTAAATCTTTTTCATCTTTATGAAGTTTTCCCTCTAGATGAGTTGATCTATAATCTTTTAAGAGATTAATAGATGCACAGCGGAAGTCTTTAACCTCTTTATACTTAGTGTGAGATAACTTTCTAGTTTAGATGATGTTTAGACTGGTTACAAGAGGAAGTAGGCTTGGCAGTAGACTGGTTAGCAGGTAACTGCTTAGTCTACTGCTGCACAGGCAGTTTGCTGACTGGCAGGCAACTGCTGAGTTGGCAGTCGGCTGGTGGGCAGGTTACTGCTGAGGCAACTGTTAAGAACAGGATGACTCTTGGATGGCTTTTTGTTCTGGCTTGTTATGACGTTCGGAAAGACACATATGGATGGGCAGTGGGCTCAGCAGGAGGGTGAAGACCAGGGTACTGCTGAGGCACCTTCTGAGTGTAAGATAACTTCTAGTGGAAAACACTCTCAAGGAGAGTGAGTTATTAAGCAGTAGGCTAAGCAGTACAGTCGATGAAGACTACTGCTTAGGATGCTGCTGGCAAACTACAATCCTTTAGTGAGATGTGTTTGGTGTGTGCTCTGCATGTATGAAAGTAAATCAACACACGATATATCCTGGTTCAGAGGTGGTGTAATCCTCCTACATCCAGTCCCACCCTATTTCAGATGGATTTCCACTAAAGTATTCAGCCCAATACAATTAGTGCCAATCTAGCCTTGACAACTCTGGCCTAGATTGAAGGTTTTTCACGATGAGTATAACACCACTCAAAGTTACTCAGTCCTTAGACTTTTCTCAATTGATCCAGTGGGGATCAAAAGGTACTCTATCTATCTAACCACACTTTAGGATCCGAACAACTGTTCTCCTAAGTGTTTACAACCACTTGTAAAATACAAGGAATTTCTGGTCACCAACTAAAATCTAAGCTCTAAAAATATAACAATTTATGATCTAGTCTAAGAGCTTAGTGAAGCATGAGTCAAAGCAGAGTATTCTAGCACTTTTTCTTTTGCTGGATATTCGTAGTGTAATAATAGAATCTCTTGCTTTGAACTCAATGACTTGCTTTTGATCTCATGCTTCTGCCTATTTTTATAGGCATCTCCAGTAGATTAATCTCCTCCGTTGGTTAAGAGGATTTAATCCTAGACGTCCAAAGTATTGTACTTGCGTCTTCTTGTGTTGGAGCAGGATAAGGATTTGTCTTTTGAAGGCCACTTGCTTTGTACGAAGATAACACTCATACCTTAGGCCTTCTTATCGCTGCATGCCTATTCTGAAACTCTTTCTCTTTTCACCAATTCTGATGTCTTCTCTGCTCTTGCATTCTGCGTGTATTTGTCTTGCAACTATACTTGTGAAGCTGAGTGCGTGAACCTGCTTAAGTAGTGAAGTAGTAAAATGTGTGACTTAGAATATTTTGTATCAAATAAATTTTGTACTGGTAGGATCTTTGAAATATCCTATTAAGGTAATAAGATTACCTTATTGCATTTTGTTCTTTCCAGTACAATTTATTTGGTACAAATTTCACAGTAAAATTTGTCACTTATTTTACTAATCACTTTCTTTCTTTAAGTGACATCATTAAACTTATGTACCAAATTAAAGCTATACTGGTTGGATCTAAATATCCATGTAAGGTAAATAATTTTTACCTTATTGCATTTTATCGTTCCAGTATGTTTAATCTGATACATAGTTTGTACATTGGAATTCTTGTCACTTTTAAGTACTTGTGTAGTTTAGCAGGTATTGTGTACAACTTAACTGGTAGGATAACAAATCCTATTAAGGTAAAAGTTATTACCTTATTGCATTTTGTGTTCCAGTTAGTTGTTCACTATTCTTGTTCACTTTGATTTATCTATATATCAAATAACACTTTACTGGTTGGATTTAAATATCCAATTTTAAGATAAAGACAACTTTACCTTATTTCATTTTGAATCCCAGTGTGTTCTTTTTGTTATATAGAATTTACATTGTTATTTGTTGTAGTGAACAGAATATCAAGAACTCTTCTTCTGAGTGTATGGTTTATCTAGTA